ATTTATTTATTTACTTATTTGAAAGCCAGAACTATAGAGAGGGAGAAAGAGAGGGAGAGAGATCTCTAATCTGCTGGTTTACTTCCCAAATGGCTGCAGTGGCCCCTGGGCTGGGCCAGGCTGAAGCCAAGAGCCATGAGCTTCTTCTGCTGTCCCATATGGGTGCAGGGGCCCAGACACTTGGGCCAACCTCCACTACTTTCTCAGGCCATTAGCAGGAAGCTGGGTCAGAAGTGGAGTAGCTGTGACTCTACTTGGATCCCATATGGGATGTCCGTGCTGCAGATGGTGGCTTAACCTTCTGTGCCACAGTGGTGCTGTGGCGCAGCGGGTTAACACCCTGGCCTGAAGCGCCAGCATCCCATATGGGCGCCTGTTCGAGACCTGGCTGCTGCACTTCCAATCTAGCTCTCTGCTATGTCCTGGGAAAGCAGTAGAAGAAGGCCCGAGTGCTTGGGCCCCTGTACCCACGTGGAAGACCCGGAAGAAGCTCCTGGCTCCTGGCTTCGGATCAGCGCAGCTCTGGCCGTTGCTGCCATCTGGGGAGTGAACCATCAGATGGAAGACCTCTCTCTCTCTCTGCCTCTCCTCTCTCTGTGTAACTCTGACTTTCGAATAAATAAATAAATCTTTAAAAACAAAAAAGAACTTTAGAGGTTGTTACAGCTGATTCAAAGGAGAAGGTGAAGAACAGATAAAAGGAATTAGGAATGATAGAATGAATTTGTTAATAGGTGCAAACTTGGTTAATATCCGATTGGTACTAAAATGCACTGCTTGGAATAATTTTTTCTGTTGGATGGAAGTCAGTTTTGTATCTACCATGCAAAATTGATTTGCATTTTTGTGCTTGAGAATTATTTGCATTGCAATCACTTTTCTACAACTCAGAGGATTGTAAAATAGTTCAAAGAAAAAGAGGTAAGTCCATGTAGAATCAGATGATCCCATGGGATCTGATAGATAAGAGAATGTAGTGTTTTTCTCATTACAAAATCTTTTACATTTTTTCTTATCATCCTAAGAGCTAAATATTAGAAGCAATTCATTGTGCCATAGGTTATAAGATTAAGCAAGTTGTAGTATTTTCATATGATGGAAATCTATATAGCAACAGGAAAAACTTACAATTACATAATTATATACAATAAATGATTTAATTTCATGAGCATAGAAATGTGTGAAAGGCACCATTCCCAAGAGTGATCCCATGTATAGCAGTAGAAGTTGGAATTGTGGTTATGGTTGCTCTAGATTTGGGATTATGACTGGGAAGGGATGTGGCAAGACCTTCTGAGTGTATGTAATGTTCTGTCTTTGATGTCTGTTCTGTTAACAGAAGTGTATGAAAATTGAAACTCATTCTGTGACACTTGGACTGTTTTAATTGTATTTGGTATTTGATTAAATTTTCTCTTTAGTCATCTAATAGCCTGTGAGACTTTAGAAGGATTTTTGGAGCAGGCTTGGTTGTGAGGGCTAGAAAAGCGCTTACAGAGCTCTCCCAGAACTTTCTGAGCCTCCTGAGTGTGTGTTGTTGTCTTGGCTGTTGTAATTTCCTTCAGCCCTAGATTGAGTTGTGAGATTCTAAACTTTGTTCTTCCCCCAACCCCTTTTTTGGTTTGGTATGTAATTTGCATATTTTCACCATGCGAAAGCTATTTTCTATGGTTGGAAAAGATTTTTTTCCTACAGTGTGAACAAATCATTCTTTGTTCTCCTTATTGTGCCTCCAAACTGGTACGTCCGGTTTATGCCCCAAACAACAAAAGTCTGTCATCAGAAATTAAAATGCCAGTAAGAACAAAGGCAGAGACCATGAGGAGCTCTTGGAGAGGTTTCCACCCTGCTTGCTCCTCTCCCCAAGTTACAGCAGTTGCCAGGGAGCCGGAACACTGTGTTCTACACTCCTTCCTTGTAATTTTAATCTTGTTTTTATTGTTATTATTAATGTAAAAGTGAACTTATAGGATAATTACTTTCAGGATCTGTAAAATCCTCAACTATGACATTTTTTGCCATTTTCAACAATCTCTTTTTCATAAACCTAAATATCATATTTTGTCAAAAGTCTTTTAGAAATTCAGCTTTGGCCGGCGCCTCAGCTCAGTAGGCTAATCCTCCGCCTAGCGGCGCTGGCACACCGGGTTCTAGTCCCGGTCGGGGCGCTGGATTCTGTCTTGGGGTCCTCTCTTCCAGGCCAGCTCTCTGCTGTGGCCCAGGAAGGCAGTGGAGGATGGCCCAAGTGCTTGGGCCCTGCACCCCATGGGGAGACCAGGAGAAGCACCTGGCTCCTGCCTTTGGATCAGCGCGGTATGCCAGCCGTGGCGGCCATTGGAGGGTGAACCAACGGCAAAAGGAAGACCTTTCTCTCTCTCTCTCTCTCTCACTATCCACTCTGCCTGTCAAAAAAAAAAAAAAAAAAAAAAAAAAAAAAAAATTCAGCTTTGACACTCACATTTGAAAGCAAAATTACCTGAGCATACATCGTGTGAAATGATTAGAGGCAGTTCTACTTGGCATCTGAAACGCAGTCTGTGAGGATATGTCTACCGTCTGTGTGGCCCTTTAAAATATACATACATATCCTTTCTCTGTACACTTTGTTAGCACTAGGCCTCTTCTGAAATGGAATTCTAATTCAGAATTAGCATGTCCTCTTTGGACAGTTATCTCCTTTGCAAAGTCCGACATTTGTGACATACACAGGATAGATTAGAATTATGGTCCTTATTTTAATATTTTATACAGTTGTGATTTCAATATATTCACAATACCTATAAATTTGACAGTGTTGCTTCTTCTGTCTTCAAATGTGTTATAGGTAAACAAAGGTTCTAGCACCTTAATTTACATGTGATGAACCATAGCATGCATCTTAGAATCAGTCCTAATTGTTTTTCTTATTGACATGCATGTAAGAAAGGATTTAGAATAGAAGCATAGAATAGGGTATTTAGATTTGTTTTGAAAGCTTTTTTGCTGAAAAACCTAGTATGTTCAATTTTGAAATATTTCATAAAAGCTCTTTTGTGTTAAATACAGTGATAAACTTTTATCATCTTTTGGGTATGCCAAGATAGCTTTGTTAAATTCTTTATTGTTCAGTATGATTGAGTGCAGAAGCTCAGTTAAGTATTGTACTTTTTTTTTTTAACATTAAGCTTTTATTTGAAAGAACCAAATGCTAAATGGCATATGGAAGTAATAGCAGAGAGCAGTAGATTTTGTGTTAGGATACTGTAATTTGTTGTAGGTGTAAACTTTATAAGTGATAAATGTTTTTCATTACTCTGAATTATAATTTCAATGTAGTTATACTGTATTATTTCATAAATCATTTTTCATTTTATACTAGTAGAAATGTACTTTGTATTATATAAGACCATTATTTACGTGTTGTCCAACAAATAATTAATTTTCAAGTAAATGACCTGGCATTAAATCTTTATATTTAAAGTGAAGTAGCTAGAAGTAGACAATGATGTATCTTGACATACTTAATTTACAGTAGGGTTATACCTTTTATCATATGTATGCTTAAGATGAAAGAGATTGTAGATTTTAGAAAATGCATGATTATTGCTCTGAGTGGGTAGTTGAATCTTCTAAAGCTCTTCTGAATTGTAAATTCTGTTCTTTAATAGTTAAAAGTGGACTTCTGTGCTGTGGTAGATTATGCCTCTGGCTTTCATTTTGAAAAGTAAAACTCCCAAAGGAATTTGTAGAGCTGCTGAGTTCCTGTAGTTTGCTTTACGGAGTTTATAGGGTTTGTGTGTCATCGGTGGTAGGTGGTGCTGTTGTTGCACGGTTAGTCCCAGCAGTGCTTACATCACGTGCATCTCAAGTGCTTCAAGAGAATGGGCTGCTACGGACAGTAACTTTGTTGCAGTTATAAGCGAAGTGAATATTCATAACAAACATTCTTAATTTAAAGTTTTAAAATCTAGGTAAATCAGCTGGAAATCTAAAAAAAAAAAGTTTCCCCAGAAGGCAGTTCTAAGGATGTATGGCTTTATATTGGAACATTTATAAGCCTTTTATTTCATAATGTGTCTATTTTTGATATTTTAAACTGTCAGATCTAATAAGAAAATAACCATCACAAAGTTTCCTTTTGAATTTTTGTGTTGACTGCATTTGTCTGTTTTAAGTTCTTGGTTATTTAGAACTGGTTTTATAATGCTACCTAATTTCTCTGTTACATATCATCAAACGCTTGACAATTATGAAAGTGTACTCAGAAATGTCCGACCACTTGGAGTAAGCCTAGAAGCCATTCATGTCTAATTCTAATTTAATTTGCTTAGTACTTCAAGCAGCAGTTGCAAAGTAGTTTTCACACTTCCATGTATTAGCATACCCTTTGCATTAATGGAAAACCCACTAAAGTGGATGGGCAATTTATATTTATATATATATATTTATATTTATAGTGATGATTTCTCTAATAATCACATTTAAAGATGCTAACATATAACTGTTTTGTTCCAAGAATACTGAAATTATAAAAGTGTACTACGGTTCTTTCTAGCAGTTTTGTCTTCTCATTTTATAATTGCAAAAGAATGTAGGTTTATAGAAGTTAAATGATTTATTCAAGGTTAATCGATAGTTGCAGAACCATAACTGCCATGGGTAACAGGACAAAGTTGCTACAGTATTTAAGTTCTGCTCTTTGGAATAATTGCTTTACTCTTAAATACAAGGCAGTCTTTTAAGAACTGTGCAAATTTCTAGCAGTTGAAGAATAATGATAGACTTCCAGAGCAGACATCTCTGTTCATATCAAGTAGGTATTCTCATAACTTTCTGAGAGTACATGTGATAATGTAAGATATAAATGTACTTTACATGAATGACTAGCCATAAATGAGTGTATGTATGTTATGTATGTATATTTGAAAAATTATGATATAATCTAGAAGGTCTTCTTTCATATTTCTTTGTTTTGACCTACATTTTCATTTGCTGACTTTCTTCTGTCTTCTGTCACACAGATCAGTGGAGAAGCACAGGAGCTCTTCTCTGTCAGGCACGGCCCAGTTCGAGCAGCAAGAATTTTGCCTGCCCCACAGTGTGGTGAGTGTAGCCCTTAAGAAAAAACAAATCATTCAGAACGTTTCTCTTTTGTTGGTCTTGGACTACAGACAAGAAGAATGATAACTGAAGTCTGTTTTCCTCTAAGTGTCCATTCCCCTTCCTCCCCTCTCCCTACCAAGATAAACTCTTAGTTCTGTCAGTTGAGATGGAAATAGGTAATCTTAACCAATTCAATATGGCTATTCACTTTCTGCTGTGGTTTTGATTTATCTTCATCCCCTTTGATCTCAGTTTAGCCTCTGCTTTTGCTGTCTCTTTCTTGAAGCCCTCTTCTCTGGGTTTTCGTGGCATCATTCTTCCCAGATCCCTTCTTTGCTGACTGTGCTGCCTTTGTTAGGTTTCTGGCTTAGCTTTCTTCTGTGGGGATTCCTTAAGTCTCTCCTGTTCTCATGCCTTTGCCCTGCTTCTCAGTTGTACCTAGTGGCTCCCAGAGTTTAGCTTTCACTGTTATCTCTGCTGTCTGCATCCCGAGCTGTGTCACAGTGACATTTCAGACTTTTCCCCTTGCCATTCTGTTCTAATAGCAAATATCTTTTAATGTTAAATATATATTGTATGTTTAGTAAAATTCAAATATCTGTTTATATCTGCTATTTTGAAGGCTAAATAACACCTGGATCTTTAAGACTTGGAGCTTTCTTTTATTTTTTATTTTTTTGTGTTAAGATTTATTTTATTAAATTGATTTGAGAGTCAGAGTTACAGAGAGAGAGAGAGACAGAGAGGGAGGTCTTCCATCCATTGATTGACTTTCCAGATGGCCTCAATGGCTGGAGCTGGGCTGATCTGAAGCCAAGAGCCAGGAGTTTCCTCCAGGTCTCCCTCATGGGTGCAGGGGCCAAATGCTTGGGCCATCTTCCACTCCCTTCCTAGGCTGTTAGCAGGGAGCTGGCTTGGAAGTGAAGCAACTGGGACTCGAATTGGCGTCCATATAGGATGCTGGCACTGCAGATGGAGGCTTAACATACTACTCCACAGTGTTGACCCCAAGACTTGGAGCTTTCTAAAGGTTGAATGTTTTCGTTAACTTTCCTATATTCATCTGAATGTTTTTTGCATGTGCACTAAAAAAAAAATCATAATAATTTTGTTTTGATACTTTAAAAATCTTTTAAAAAAGGGGGTATTATCCTTAAGTGGAAAATCTTACTTATAAGACTTCTGACAGCAGTTAATTTTATATATTCTCTGAATTATTGAGAATGATGTTTACTAAAACGTAGAACCATTCTGTTCAGAGCAATTTTTGGGAGTTTGTGATTAAATTGGATCAAATTAAATGGCAGAGCAAAGGTAAGAAGGCAGCCATTAGGCGATCTTTCCTTGCACATGCAGATCTCAGCTCTGTAGCTAACTCTGTCCTGCCCACTCATCCTTCCATTTGGCCTTTATCACCACTTTTATTTATTGTGGTTCCTAGCCTTTACAATAAGGCAAGAGAAGTAAACAAAAGGTGTAAAGATTAGAAAGAAAGGTGTAAATTTTTGTTTTTTCTTTGATAGTCTATGCCTTTATAAAATGCAATGAAATTTGCAGGCTCCTTTTTTTTAAGATTTATTTATTTATATGAAAGGAAGAGTTACAGAGAGAGGTAGAGACAAAGGGAGAGGTCTTTCATCTGCTGGTTCACTCCCCAAAATGGCCAGAGCTGGGCCAATCTGAAGTCAGGAGCTAGGAGCTGGAGATGAATTGCAAGTGGAGTAACTGGGACTAGAACTGGGTCTAAATGGCATGCCAGCACTGCAGACAGCAGCTTAACCCACTACTTCACATTGGCAGCCCTGATTTGAAGACTCTTAAAATTAGTGAGGCCGGCGCCGTAGCTCAATAGTCTAATCCTCCACCTGCGGTGCCGGCACACTGGGTTCTAGTCCCGGTTGGGGTGCCGAATTCTGTCCCGGTTGCTCCTCTTCCAGGCCAGCTCTCTGCTGTGGCCTGGGAGTGCAGTGGAAGATGGCCCAAGTGCTTGGGCCCTGCACCCGCATGGGAGACCAGGAGAAGCACCTGGCTCCTGGCTTCGGATCAGCGTGGTGTGCCGGCTGCAGAGCACCAGCCACAGCGGCCATTGGGGGGTGAACCAACGGAAAAGGAAGATCTTTCTCTCTCTCTCTCTCTCACTGTCCACTCTGCCTGTCAAAAAAAAGAAAATTAATAAGTGAATTTAGCGGCCGGCGCCGCGGCTCACTAGGCTAATCCTCCGCCTAGCGGCGCCGGCACACCGGGTTCTAGTCCCGGTCGGGGCGCCGGATTCTGTCCCGGTTGCCCCTCTTCCAGGCCAGCCCTCTGCTGTGGCCAGGGAGTGCAGTGGAGGATGGCCCAGGTGCTTGGGCCCTGCACCCCATGGGAGACCAGGAAAAGCACCTGGCTCCTGGCTCCTGCCATCGGATCAGCGCGGTGCGCCGGCCGCGGCGGCCATTGGAGGGTGAACCAACGGCAAAGGAAGACCTTTCTCTCTGTCTCTCTCTCTCACTGTCCACTCTGCCTGTCAAAAAAAAAAAAAAAAAAAAAAAAAAAAAAAAAAAAGTGAATTTAGCAGAGCTGTTGCATACAGGGCTAATCTGGTCTTTAGTAAGCTGATCCCTTCACTGTATTTTCCCAGCATCATCTTCTGCCTTTTTTTTTTTTTTGACAGGCAGAGTGGACAGTGAGAGAGAGGGACAGTGAGAGAGAGAGACAGAGAGGAAGGTCTTCCTTTGCCTTTGGTTCACTCTCCAATGGCCACCGCGGCCGGCGCGCTGCGCTGATCCGAAGGCAGGAGCCAGGTGTTTCTCCTGGTCTCCCATGGGGTGCAGGGCCCAAGCACTTGGGCCATCCTCCACTGCACTCCTGGGTCACAGCAGAGAGCTGGCCTGGAAGAGGGGCAACCGGGACAGAATCCGGTGCCCTGACCGGGGCTAGAACCTGGTGTGCTGGCGCCGCAGGTGGAGGATTAGCCTATTGAGCCGCGGCGCTGGCTGCTATTCTTTTCTTTTCTGCTCTACTGGTTGCCCCAACATCATTCCTTTGTTTTTAGACTGAATTTCTTCCATTTTCTCAAATGATCCGTGGTCTTCATTTCAGGCCTTTATATTTGTATGTGTGTATATATATATATATATATATACATACATGTCTATCAGAAGAAACAGAGAGACATGTCCTTCTAACCCTTCCTGCTGTTTACCTACTATTGTCTTATGTGCTCCCATGAGACTTGACTCTTGCTTGTCAGATTAGTAGTGTTTTCATATCTTTAGTGCTTTACAGAGTGCTTATTACAAGCATTTAGTAAGAATTTGTTGAATGTTGCTTCATGGAAGAATCTATTGAAAGTTATGAATTGGAAGAAAAGTGAGCTTCCTTTATGAAATTTTTGCTGTGGAAAATTTATCCTTTAACCAAAAATGAAAACTAAGGACCATTTATTTATTTACTTATATATATTAAAATTATTTTATTTGAAAGGGAGAGAGAGAAGAAACCAAAAACAAAAGAAAGGAAAGGAATGGAAATAAAGTGTACCCATTTGCTGATTCATTCTCAAATGCCTACAAATGCCTACAACAGCTGGGTTTGGTCCAGTTCAAGCTGTGAGTTGGAACTCAGTCCAGGAGGACTCCCACAAGGGTGGCAGAGAACCAACTACTTGAGTCTTCAACTGCTGCTGGTATTGGGAGTTGGAGCTGAGTTTCTTTCTTTCTTTCTTTTTCTTTTTCTTTTTTTTTTGATAGGCAGAGTAGACAGTGAGAGAGACAGACAGAGAGAAAGGTCTTCCTTTTTCCGTTGGTTCACCCACAAAGGCTGTTGCGGCCGGCGCGCTGCGCTGATCCGTAGCCAGGAGCCAGGTACTTCCTCCTGGTCTCCCATGGGGTGCAGGGCCCAAGCACTTGGGCCATCCTCCACTGCACTCCCTGGCCACAGCAGAGAGCTGGCCTGGAAGAGGGGCAACCGGGACAGAATTCGGCGCCCCGACCGGGACTAGAACCCGGTGTGCCGGCGCCGCAAGGTGGAGGATTAGCCTAGTGAGCTGTGGTGCCAGCCGGAGCTGAGTTTCAGTCTGAGGCACTTCAGTATGGGAAGCCTGAGTGTTAACTGCTAGGCTGAAACTCTGCCTCTGATTATTTTCTTAATGAGTTTGGTTTTCTTTTTGAATATTTTCAATATGATGTCTGAGAAAAGTGTAGGACAATAGGAATTTCATTAGTCTTGTTCATGTGCTATTTTCTTACTGCTCATTGAGAAATAATTCTTTTGGATTGCTTTCTTAGAACTGCAGATTTAATATTGTGTTTATCATTTGGTATTTTGTGTCCTGAGCATCTGATTTATTTTTACCTAAGAACGTTTTAGAACAAATTCCTTTTTTTGTTGTTGTTTTAAGATATACTTATTTATTTGAAAGTCACAGTTACAGAGGGAGAGGGAGAGACAGAGAGAGAGAGAGGGGAGAGAGAGAGAGAGCTCTTCCACCTACTGGTTCATTCCCTAGGTGGCTGCAACAGCTAGGGCTGACCCAGGCTGAAGCCTGGAGTTAGGAGCTTCATATAGGTCTCCCAGATAAGTGGCAGGGGCCCAAACACTTGAGCCATCCTACGCTGCTTTCCCAGGCCATTTGCAGGAAGCTAGATCAGAAGTGGAGCAGCCAGTATACAAACTGGAGCCCATATGGGATTCTGGCATCGCAGGTGGTGGCTTTACCCACTACGCCACTAGAAAAAAGTCTTATAAATAAATGTTATTTTCATGACAGAAGGGCTTACTGGAGATACACTTTCCTGAAGCATCTAGGGTCACATTTCTGGCTGTCATTCTCAAAACACTGGACAGCAACTAGTTTTTTTTTTTTTTTTTTTTTTTTCAGATTATTTCAGTATTATTGCTTGAAAGGTCATATTTTTAGTTCTATGTAAGTTTCATATCACAGTTTCATATCTCAGAATATTAAAATCTTTTATAAGATCTAAGCATTCTGAATTTGAAGTATCAATGGCAAGTCTTCC